TGCTAAAAAATCAAAGAGGCACCGTTCTCTGAATCTCAAGAGCCAAACTCCCAACAGGATTACTTGCTCAAAAATCGAAAAGGCACTGCCCTCCGAATCTCGAGAGCCAGACTCTCAACAAGATTACTTTCATAAAAATCGAAGAGGCATCGCTCTCTGAATCTCAAGAGCCAAACTCCCAATAGGATTGTTTTCTCAAAAATCGAAGAGGCACCGTTCTCCGAATCTCGAGAGCTAGATCCCCGACAGGATTACTTGTTCGAAAACCAAAGAGGCACCGCTCTCCGAACTTCGAGAGCTAGATTTCCTTGGATAAAGCATGTCTGCAATCTTCACACGCAACATCAATTTTCCAGATACCACAGACCACTTTTTCAAAGTGCTCTGACAAAGTTTAAACACGTGAAGCTTGTAGCTCCCACTACATTGCTATGACCAAGAAAGGTAAAGGAATAACATTACTACTTGTTGTTAGGGAGACTCCTATGTATGTAGACCTCCATCCTTCGTGGAGGACAGGCAAACTTGCAAAAATGCTCAACCCTTCCCCATATCTAAGAGGGCACTCCTAACGAAACCTCTCAAAATACTCAGCTTTCTTCCCCCCAATAATACCTATGCAAACCAGCCACACCAGAGCAAGAGTATCTCACATCATCAGGGTCAAAATCAAGAGTATCTTATATCATGCTTTTTCCCTGTCTTTTCCTTTACCCTTGTTCTTACCTGCAAGACAAGAAGAAAGAGAGCAATCAGTCAGCACTTGGAATCAAGCTTCCAGTCTGGAACTGATTGCCTGGAACCCCTTGCCTAATTACTTACATGGCATTACTCTCGAGTATTCATCTTCAACATCTTATGCTTCCAGAAAAGATATCACATTTGCCTGAGGAACAAATAGGGCAAGTGAGAAGGATACAAGGAAGCATGTGGAGATAAGCGCAACAGAACACATGCTGATTCATCTATTACTTCGTCAACAGGAAAAGTATCCCATATCATCAAGGTCGAACGCACTCTTGATTTGATGGACTTGTTTTGACCCTCAAATTCTTAAGTTGGCCTTATACTCTAGAGGAAACCAGAAAACCCTCCAGCCTCGTTCAAGAATAAGCCTGGGGAAAGTTACTTCTTCAAAAGCAAAAGTATCTCATATCATCTCTTCTCATTTTTCTTCTCTTTATCCTTCCTACTGCCTACAAGATAGGGAGTTAGAACAATCAGCCTGAACTTGAAATCAAACTTCTGATATGGGACTGATTGCTAGGAGCTCTGATTGCTTACCTTGTCTGTCACCCCTTTTGGCATATCTCCTAGCTCGGCGACTTGGGGGACTCTTACTACATGGTTTGTATCGCGCTTGACCAAGCTTGAAACTATAAGTAAGCTTCAAGTGAAATTGATACATTACCTTGTGCATCTCTACCGGTTAAAGATACCACCCCTGGATGGAGGAAAAATACTACAATAGAAGATGACACATCTACCTATAAGACAGATAAGGCAAGTGAAAACGATACCACACTTCGGTACTTAGAAGTTTCGCGATTACTCAGTGGCTTAGATCTTGCAAGTCCCTAACCGAGGAGCTTCCATCACTCGAGAACTTAGGGGAGCACTGTTTGTACCATACTTGACCAATTCCGAAACTACTGAGCACCGGTCAACGTTATACCGTCAATGACCCAGAAGAGTTTCCTTCCAACCAGGAGGCTAATCATAGTGTGACACATGTCAACATTAGGAGCCAATCATAGCGCGACACGTGTCAACATCAGAAGCCAATCACAACATAACATGTGTTAATGTCAAAACAAAGCTAGAAACTCGCTTCTATAAAAGGAGATCATTCTCCCACAATATTTCCTAATGTCATTTGTACTAAATCATTCAGTAGTACTCACTAAAAGAGAGCTTGAACCTATGTACTTGTGTAAACCCTTCACAATTAATGTGAACTCCTTTACTCTGTGGACGTAGCCAATCTGGGTGAACCATGTACATCTTGTGTTTGCTTCCCTGTCCCTATCCATTTACATACTTATCCACACTAGTGACTGAAGCAATCTAGCGAATGTCACAAACTTAACACTTTCTGTTGTACCAAAGTCCTCACTGATTTTGTGCATCAACAAAGTCTAAGGGTAGTTCTATTGATTTGAATTCCTCCCAATCTAGTTTACTTGTCTTTTTTTTTTGGGCAAATAGTTTACTTGTCTTACTCATAAATCGGAATAGTTTGAATAATAACGATTGGTTGGAGTTACTTGAAAAATTAAAATTAAGATATACAATGAGGTAATTAACTCACTAACTCAGGTAAGAATGATCTAAAAAATGTTGACGAAATTTTGACAAGATGTTGACCGATTTAGTGAGACTGAACTGCAATTACTTTTGAGAATGGACGTCCTAACCATAGGTCTGAGGATAATTGTTTTTTAGGAATCGATGTTGACCGATTTGGTAAAGACCGATCTCGTAACTACTTAATTTTTTATTTTTTTTTACTGGCTACTTTTTTTTTTCTCTCCAAAAGGGAGATCGGAATGAATATGATAATATATATATATATATATATATATATACACACACATACTGGCTCTTTAAGGAGAGAAATCTCTATTTTAGCTGAAAAATAATGGGGATAGTATGGGAACTGCCCGATCTCTTTTAATTTGATTGTCCGGTTGCAATTAAACACATGAGGATAATATTACAAATTTATACTTAAATATCAATAACTGAGACTAACTCAATATTCAGCGGAAGTATGGTAAATCTATTGAGTTTTTGCTACAAGATTAGTGAATCCGGTGGTGATGAATCTGATGATTTAACTGTGCCAACCCTCACCGTACATTTTAGCAGTTTGTAACCGGCTAACACCTTTATTAGGGTTAGTGAGGAGGCTGTTGTGTTAAAAAGAAAAAGAAAAAGGAGGCTGTTGCTTTGCTTTTGGTGCTTACGAATATATATATATATATATATGAGAGACTTTGGATGCGGTCTTTAGTTATGAATATTTTTTTATTGAAACCTTGTTAGTTTTTAATTTTTGAATGAGATCCCTGAAATTAATGTGATAATTTATTTCTACGTTACTATTTTTTTAATTAAAAATTAGAAATTTTAGTTGTTTGTATAAATGAGATTTTAAATAAAAAACCATAATTTGTGGGATTAAAAATATTAAAATATAATATACTATTGTGTGTGTGTGTGTGTGAAAACATGGGTACATTTTTCAAAATCACAAAAAAAAAAAAGGAAAAAGATATTTGGCTTAATAACATTAGTAAATTTTTCGGTTAAACTTGACATAGATACATTTTAAAATCAAAGAAAAAAGAATGTACCCATATAAGTTTAAAAATGGATTAGAAAAAAATTGAATAGATTTTATATTAAAAAAATGGTACATTTTACATATAACAAATTTGTATATTTAAGAATGAGTACATTTTAAGATTAAAAAGTTTTACATGAATGGGTACATATAATTAGCATGGGTACATTTAGCAAAATAAAAAGTACAAATAAAAAACAAATATATGGGTACAAATACAAATAAACTTTAAAAAATATGGGCACAAAAAGAAATTAATATATGGGTACAAATTAAAATTGAAAAGAAAATTCGTACAAATTAAAAAAAAAATTCAAATTAAAAATGGATTCAAACTAAAACTAAAAATATATGATAAAAATTTTAGTCATAAATATAAATATACTAATTGTAACATTTTTAACATTAAATGAATATATTTAGAAATAAAAAATATTTTATTATTGAAATAATTAATGATTTATTAATACCAAGAACCTTGATAAAAATTGAAAATGAATAGGATTTTAATCAATGAAGTAGTAAAAGGAAGGATGAGAACCTAATTTTTCCTATATATATATATACACAGAGTTAATTGATTTTTACAGTGAAATTTTAACTTTTTCACATTTGAATATTCAAGGTTGCATGAATATAAGCATAATATTACCACAAAAAAGATATCAAGAAGACATCGTTGAAAGAGAGAGAGAGAGAGGAATTGCAGCAGACAATTGAACAGTGTAGAACTTTAACTAAAAAGAGAGACAATCTCTAGTTACTCGAAGTCGAAGCCACAATCTTTACTTTCAAATTACAATCTTGCATAAGGGGATACTGACACTTTATAGGCTAAAGGGGACCCATTGGTTTTTGACTCAGGATAATTCGTGTTCCGGAAGGTCGAAAATCTTCGAATATTAACTGCCTAGCTAGTGAATGAAATGATTAGATCATTAGACTGAGAAAGCATATTAAAATAAAGAAGTTCAAATATTGATTGTACTCTGTGTATTAATCTATTTATAATTCTCAGGAGAACTGCGCCTGATTTGGCTTGCTTTATTTGAACCCCCCCTTTGCCAGGGAGTTATATTCATATATTTTGGGTCAACTATATTTCACACCTTTTAATTTGAGTTGAATTTCAAAATGAATTATGAGATTCTAATTTTTTTTAAATATTATACTGTGAAGTTTTGAAATCGTATCAATTTATATCTTTTGTCTTTTTAAATATCTAATTTTCCATTTAGATGATAAGCTTCTTTATTTTTGCCATATGATACAAATGTGGCTTAAACAGTAGCCCATATTAGGATTTCTTGTTGATCATGTCATCAATTTAGTGAATGATCAATTGGCTAAAGCCATAAATTGGTACAAATTTTAATACCTTGTAGTACGGAATGAGAAAATGAAACTTCATGTTCCATTTTAAAGAGCACCCGAAACTCGAAAAGCGTGAAATGTAATCAGCCCTAGATTTTACGTACAAGAACTAATAAGTTACCATTCTCATCATGTTCTGAGGTTTGAGTTTAATTACGTTGTGGAGGAGCTATCTTGGATTGACCCACAGAGACAAGGACATCCACTGTAAATAAGAAGTTGAAGCATATATATGCAGTTTTTGTTACGCGCCCGTGCATATGAAAATCCTAGGAAAAAGATAGGAAGAACTCACATAAAATTAAGCAGTAATTCAGAAGGAAACCGCACAATCTTAATAATACAAAAGAAAAAGAAAAGAACGAAGAAAAATATCAAAGTCCTCGCACAACAATTGTACATGCACTCATAAATCATAACTAAGCAAAAGACCCCAAACTCATGAACTCACTTCACTACCTGCCTCAGTTTTAAAATTTGACCTCTGCCTGGTTGATAAGTATCATACCCTCTAACCATGCCATCGATCGTGTTGTTATTTACATCCTCCGAGGTACGCACGCCTTCTACATATATAATTCTCTCTTTTTCTGTTTCCTTTTTCATGTTATAATTATCTTTATTTTTGAGCGTGAATTAATTTAGGGTGTGAGCTGCATAATCACTAATAGCTCCACAGACGACCTTCTCTTCCGTCTGAATTTCCCGGCAAGTCATCATAATCAGACGGTGGAGAGTCGTTCATTCTCGGCGGAGACACCAGCATTCCCTCTGCCATGTCCACCAGCAAATTCGGCATTTGGAAAAGCTCTTCCTCGTCCATAAAGTATCCTACAGAAGAAGCCAAACTTGTACTACTCATCATCATATCATCAACCTCGTGTTTCTGCATCTGTCCCATTTTTGGACTCTCCATCTGGTCACTATTATTTCGTAGCGCTGCTGCTGCAGTAGTGGCGGCAGTACGAATATCAAGTGCCGATGTGGACGGTGGCACTGGATACGATCCAATTAAACTAGGAAAGTTGAGAGCAACATCGGTACCTTTGAGTGTAAGTGCGGCCACATCATACGCGGCTGCAGCCATCTCCGGAGTTGGGAAAGTGCCAAGCCAAATACGCTTGGTCTTCCGTGGTTCTCGGATTTCAGATACCCATTTTCCTCCCCTACACCTGATGCCGCGGTACCTGGGGTGCTTCCCGGAAGAGCTTGAGGCCATGGTAGCAAGTTTTGGTAGTGTTTGAACTTGTAGTGGTGCCCTAGCGGAGGGAGAGGGCATTTCAATAGTTTCACACGTCTGGTGGTGGAGAGGAAGAAGAGAATGTGGGAGGACTTGGTGCGGTGGAGGAGGGTGAAAGTCAAGGGGGAACACTACTAGATGTGGATAGGTGGGTGTGGATTGGTCTAACGTTTGATGCACGATATTGGAAGTGTTTGGATTTGGATTTGGGTCAGCCATGATATATAATCACTTATTCATATATAGATATAGATTTATGTAGCTAGCTAGGTGGGGATATATGTAAATTTTGGATGTGGGGATTATAGAAGGAAGGTAAAGACATAACTCCCTGGGAGAGAGAGGGGGGTTGGGGGGGGGGGGGGGGGTTGTCACGAGGTCATGGTTGAGAGATTTGAATATATATGTGTGATTAGAGAGGCAAAAGCGTGGGGATTTCGTGGGAGGGACTCACTCAAAAAGTCGTGGCAATGCACCCAGCAGAGTGAGTACAGTGTCATGGGAAACTAATGATTTTAATTTCAATAAGTTTTAGGAAAATTGCAGTGTGCTTTTGGTGAGCACACGCATTAGGCACAGGCTACCAATTAGCTGTTCTCTATTCTTACGCTTAGTGCCATATACGATATACCCTCTCTTAGTCTCCCTCACTTGGTGGTGCAGAGATTTTTCTGTGGTATCCGGAACATCATCGCATAATGTTTTTATCCTTTGTTATGTATTTGTTTTATTTATTAATGTACTCTCAAAAGTGAGACATATAAACTATCGTCTACCCATATTATTATAATATGTGTAATAATACACCACGTAACAAATGTTCTGAAAACAGCTATAAATTCCTTCAGTTCATAATCCATAAGCTTGATCTAATATCACAACAACATTTGTCACAGAGATGATGATTAACATTATAAAAACATGATTACGGTGGAAATTGTTTTTACGTTCCATTTCTGAATCATTTTCTGATGAATCATTAATTAACTGGTTATGGAATGAAAACGTTTATGCTTAAATTTGGTTACACATTTAAATATTATATGTATGTGTGTGTGTGTGTAAACATTAAAATTATGTTGGTTTCTAGGGATTTTTTATTTTTTTTTTAATTTTTTATGGATCAGCTAGTGGTTTTTTCACAGCAATTCACATTTTTGGAGTAATATAGAGGCATTTCGGCCTTCCTTTGGCCATTATCCAAGACTAAGAATCGAATCTAGGACGTGCCGTGTAGAATATGGACTTGAAATTCGTCCCCAACCATGAACTAGGAATTAGAGAAAGAAATTTGGAAGCATTCAAATATGAATCACCAACAGAAGATCGATCAATTTGACATGATTAATCAAGCATAGGTCTCTTCTGTTGATTAGTCTATTTGCCTAACATTAGGAGAATCATGACTATTTTCGTTAGCAATGAATTAGGTTAGAACCCAATCAAGTGCACCAAACAGAGATATTAGCATCTGGTTAGTGCTAAATATGTGAGCACAGTATTACATGTATAACTACATGCTCTCATGCTTCTTTTTGAACATTCTTTTGCATCCCAATTTCTTTTGGAATCAATTAGTTTTATGGTTTTTAAGCATTTTTAAGTCTTGCAACCATAAGATCACGAAAAGCTATTCACGTTACTTGAGATAAATAATTTTGTTAAGTCAAACGTCGTTTTTGTTCATTGGTGGCTGACAATATTGAATGTATACACACTCCTTGGACGAGATTTGGCCAACAAGGTACCTCTCATACATGGCTCCAAGCACACTGGGGCCTGCTGTCTCACACATGAATTTTATATACCTAATTGAGTAACTTCCCTTTAACGGAATCCTTAATCGAATTGGTTCTTTTGGGTAATAGCATTATTATACTAGAGGGACAGAGGATTTTTCCATATACAAAACTGATTTAATTATGTTTTTGTGGACCTTTCAAATCCATTATAAAACTTACATCCGAAGGTGAAAGAAAAGCTTCATTCAAATAAAAGAAAAGAATGTAGATATAATATAACCAAATTAACAAGAACATTGCGGTTTTTTTTCTAAAAGATCATAGCGCTGCGGTAATGCTTGAAATGTCTCTCCGAATTCTCGTCTCTATTGAATGGAGTTAAGTGAGGCAAAGTTAACTTGCAAGGTGGATCTGTTCACTCAATCTCATCCGTGAATGGTGACCTGTTCATGTTGGTCACGTCTTTTTACAGTACTTCATCCGTGGTATCAATGCAGAGGAAATCACGCAGTTGCTTAGTTAAGAGTGTTTTTACTTCCTCCTGGAGTTGTCTTTGTTAGGGTAATGGTGGCTCGGGCTGCCTTCGACGATGGTCTGCAAGTTTGAGCTGCTCTTCCCGATGATGTGCTTGTTCATGCCATGGCTACGAGACACATGATTTATTTCTAGCCAGTGAGCGTGCTGCTCGTGGTTTGGCTTGGCGAGGAGTGCCAGTTGAACTTGATCAAAAGTTCACTCGAGGTTCTTCCTTCTTTTTGTAAAGTTTTATTTATTCTCTTTCTTCTTTTTCTCTTTTATGACCCCACCATATATACCTTAAATTCTCACATTATACATCAATATTGTGTTATTCTTAAAAAAAAAAAAACATAAATATTATCCGAACAATTCTCTATCTCAAGACTGAGACAGTATCGAGTTTTCCCAAGATCTTTCATCTCAAATTCCGACTTTGGGTCCAGGGTAGTTTTCTCAAGTTCTTCAGGAGTTCCGATGAGATTCATGTTGTCAACATAAATCGCAAAACCAGAATGTGACTTCCTAATGACCACACAAGGGCATAGTTTGTTGTTCACATATTCCTAACTTATCAAATACTCACTCAGAGGGTTATACCACATCCGCCTGGATTGCTTCAATCTGTAGAGTGAACGCTTTAGCCGAATGGAAAGCGTGTTTCGTAGTTTAGAATTATTTGAACCAGTCAATGTAAGTCTTTCGGGAGCTTTCATATAAATTTCTGTACCAAGATCTCCATACAGATACGCGGTTACCACGTCCATAAGCAGTGGCGAAGCCAGGATTTGCCAAGGGGAGGGGCGAAATTCAAAAGAGTGCAAGGTTTAGTCGAAGCGGTTGCTTTCACATTGGAGAGTGCAAAGTTTTGAGTCAATATTCATAGCAGAAAATAGTCTCTTCACCAAAATGGTTGTAAGCAATAATATAAAAGCCAATGTAAGAAGCTTCAATTGTCTAGGTTTAGATCTTAAAAAATGTTAGGTGCTAGTCAAACAGCGGATTGGGACCTAGCAGCTAGGTGCCTAGGCAAGATCTAGACAAGAGCCTAGATGGATTTAAATTATCATAAAATAAGCATTAAACAATATTTACATTGTTTGGAGGAGGATTTATGCACTGTTTCTTATAGTACCATTCCATTGCCACTAGGTCTGCCAAAATTGCTTCAAGTTTTAACACAACCTACAAACCCAGAGACTAAATCATAAGCTGTTATAGCACATACTACATTTACATTGTTCTCCAACATTTTAATGGTGCTCCCAGTTACCTCCAACTAATCAAATGGTATCCAAGAAAATAAAACTTCGAAAATCGCAACAGCATAATAAAAGGACCAAACTTTCTAAATTCCAAGGATCAAGTGGAGAATGCAGATGGATTCATTGCAAATACTAGAACACATTTAAATCTACAGACCCACATAAATAATCACAGAAATCACACCAAAATCACCACCTAATCATCAAAATCAATGAACAATCCCGGAAATTACTCAATGGCCATTAGCACAATTGAATTTAAATAATAGCAATTAAATCCCAACGAAAAATTAAACAAAAAGCCAACATACTAGTAAGAAGGGGCCAAATGGAAAGGCGCGGGTTTGATGCTGGGAAATCTTATTTGTTAGGTTGGAAATTAGGGACGAGGAGGAAGCCGAGAGGTAATGGGGGACAAGTGGTCCTCCCATCATATTTAATTTTTTTTTTTCAAATTAAGCCCAATTGCCCAAACACACCGTTTCACTTACTTTTCCAGGATCGAAACGATGTCGTTTCATCCTGGATTTTTTTTTAAAGAAAAAAATAAAAGAAGTTTTCCCTTCCCTGCGCAGCTATGGCGAATTGCTGTAGTTGCGACAATTGTGAGCTGCAATCCGGCAAAACCAGAGGGGCGATGGGGCAGCAAACCATGATTTCTGGGCATGTTTTCCGGTGAGAGGAGGGCGGACTCCTCCCTGCGCCTTAACAGCTTTCGGCCACTGCGCGCGCAAAGTTTGTGTAGCTGCAGCAAAAAACATGGCTTCATTTCCGGCGAGAGGAGGGGCGCGCACTCGCTCATGGGCTTCATTTTCGGCGAGGGGAGTGGCGGCCGCCACTCCTCGCCCTCACGTGGCTTCGCCACTGTCCATAAGTTGTATATCTAGTTTTTCAGAAACCACCAAACTGATAAGGTAGGGAAAAGTAATTGCATCCATAATGGATGAAAAACTTTCGTCATAGTCAATTCCAGGGCATTTAGAGATGCCATGTGCAACAAGATGAGCTTTGTAACACACTATTTCATTCTTCTCATTACACTTCCTAATGAAAACCCACTTGTAGCCAATGAACTTCATATGTGGAGGAGTAGGAGTTATAGGCCCAAACATCTTACGTTTCACAAACAAATCGAGTTTGACTTGGATTGCATGCTTCTAGTTTAACCATTAAGTTCTAAGTTGACATTCATCAACGGAACAAGGTTTAATGTCATTGCTTAGCATGATCTCAGTAGCTACTACATATGTTAATGCATCGTCAATTATCATCTCATTTCTACACCAAACATCATCCAAGCTAGCATAGTGGACTAAAATTTCTCGATTCCCAAGAGGAGGATTCGTCTCTTCCCGGACGCTTCCATAATCTAGAATTTCCTCATGCATTAGATAGAATGAGTAGGCGATTGTTGAATTCATGGTAGGCTCAACAGCCCATGCCGTGAGTTTCCTCTTCTAGGGTTGTGAATCCTTTGAACTAAGGGGTTTGCCACATTTCTGGGTAATAGTAAAAGATTGGCTAACTGCCAATGTACGTGGATTAGCCAAATTGGTGTCTCTGACTTCTAGAAAGGAAGTCCATCGTGCATTTGGTACATCCATCTTTGCAGGCACATTCACAACTAATAGTTCATGTCGTTCTTCTAGAACGGTTATGTTCTTATCTCCTCATAACAACGGGAGACTGTTTCATAGAAGTGACAATCTGCGAAAGTTGTAAAAAGATCGCCTATCAAAGGTTCTAAGTAACGAATGATAAAAGGAGAATCATAACTGACAAAGATTCCCATCCTTCACTAATGACCCATTTTATACATAAGGGCAGCG